AGTAGTAGTCGTAGTCGTAGTCGTAGTCGTAGTCGTAGTTGTAATCGTAGTAGTAGTAGTAGTAGTAGTATCAGTAGTCGTAGTCGTAGTCGTAGTCGTAGTAGTAGTCGCAGCAGTCGTAGTAGTAGTCGTAGTAGTAGTAGTAGTAGTAGTAGTAGTAAGAGTAAGAGTAAGAGTAAAAGGATAAGAGTAGTAGTAGTAGTAGCAGTAGCAGTAGTAGTGTAGTAGTAGGAGTAGTAGTAGTAGTAGTAGTAGTAGTAGTAGTAGTGGTAGTAGTAGTCGTAGTAGTAGTAGTAGTAGTAGTAGTAGTATTAGTAGTAGTAGTGGCAGTAGTAGTAGTAGTAGTGGTGGTGGTGGTAGTAGTAGTAGTAGTAGTAGTAGCAGTAGCCGTAGCAGTAGCAGTAGTAGAAGTAGTAGTAGTAATAGTAGTTGTTGTAGTAGTACTAGTAGTAATAGTAGTAGTAGTAGTAGTAGTAGTAGTAGTACTAGTAGTAGTCGCCGTAGAATTTCTAGTAGGAGTAGCTGTAGTAGTAGTTGTTGTTGTAGTAGTAGTAATAGTGGTAGCAGAAGTAGTAGTAGTACTAGCAGTAGTAGCGGTAGTAGTAGTAGTAGAATAGTAGTAGTAGTAGTAGTAGGCGTTGTAGCAGGAGTGGTAGCAGTAGTTGTAGTAGTAGCGGTAGTAGTGGTAGTAGTAGTAGTAGTAGTAGTAGCAGTAGTAGTAACAATCGTGTTTGTAGCACTAGTCGCAGTACTAGTAGTAGTAGTAGTAGCAGCAGTAGTAGTAGTACTAGCAGTAGTAGTGGTAGTAGTAGTAGTAGTAGTAGTAGTAGTAGTAGTAGTAGAGTAGTAGTAGTAGCAGCAGTAGTAGTAGTAGTAGTAGTAGTAGTAGAAACAGTAACAGTAACAGTAACAGTAGTAGTAGCAGTCGTAGTAGTAGCCGTAGTCGTAGTCGTAGTCGTAGTCGTAGTAGTAGTAGTAGTAGTAGAGTAGTAGTAGTAGTAGTAGTAGTAGTGGTGGTAGTAGTAGTAGTAGTAGTAGTAGTAGTGGTAGCAGTAGTAGCAGGAGTAGTAGTACGAGTAGTAGAAGTAGTAGTAGTAAGAGTAGTAGTACTAGCCGTAGTAAGTAGTGCTAGTAGTTGTAGTAGTAGTAGTAGTAGTAGTTGACGGATTGGCGGTAGTAGTAGTACTAGTAGAAGTAGTGGTAGTAGTAGTAGTAGCAGTAGGCGTACTACTAGTACTAGTAGTACCCGTAGTACTAGACATAGTATTAGTAATAGAATTAGTACTAGTACTAGTACTAGTATCAGTACTAGTACTAGTACTAGTACTAGTACCATTAGTACTATAGTAGTAGTAGTAGTAGCAGCAGTCGTAGCAGTTGTAGTAGTAATAGTAGTAGTAGTAGTAGTAGTAGTCGCCGTAGAATTTCTAGTAGGAGTAGCAGTAGTAGTAGTTGTAGTAGTAGTAGTAGTAGCAATAGTGGTAGCAGCAGTAGTAGCAGTAGCTGTAGTAGTATCTCCTGGCAGTTGTAGTCGCAGTGGTAGTGGTACGGTTAATGGTAGCGGTGGTGGCAGATGTAGCGGTGGTGGTAGTGGTAGTGGTAGTGGTCGTAGAAATGGTAGGGGTAGTAGTAGTAGTAGTAGTAGTAGTAGTAGTAGTAGCAGTCGTAGTCGTAGTCGTAGTCGTAGTAGTAGTAGTAGTAGTAGTAGTAGTAGTAGTAGTAGTAGTAGTAGTAGTAGTAGTAGTAGTAGTAGAACAGTAGTAGTAGTAGTAGTTGTAGTAGTAGTAGTAGTAGTGGTGGTGGTGGTAGTGGTAGTGGTAGTGGTAGTAGTAGAAGTAGTAGTAGTAGTAGTAGTAGAAGTAGTAGTAGTAGTAACAGGAGTAGTAGTAGCAGTAGTAGTAGTAGATGTAGTAGTAGTAGTCGTCGTCGTAGTGGTAGTAGTAGTAGAGGCAGCAGTAGGCGTAGCAGCAGTAGTAGTAGTAATAGTTGTAGGAGTAGCAGTAGTAGTAGCAGTAGTAGTGGTAGCGGTAGTGGTAGTCGTAATTGTAGTCTTAGTAGTTGACGTCGTAGTTGAGGTAGTGATAGTCGGCGATGTCGTCGTTGCACAAGTAGTACCATCGCAGTCGCCGGTGAAGTCGTATCAGTCGTAGTAGTAGTAGTAGTAGTAGTAGCAGTAGTAGTAGCAGTAGTAGGTAACGCCGTGCCCGTCCAGGTCGTGTAGTAGTGAACCGCTGTTCTGAAGATGTGTCGATGTGTTTCCTTTTCTTTGGCACTGAAGTATATGGTTTGAAGGTTTATGTGGCCGATGTTGGATCCCAGATCATAAATTTACCTCAAGAGTTTGACACTCGGTTTTCGGTTTTAAGTTGCCCCCCGTCCATACAATCGAGCATGATGGAAGCGAACGCCGTCTCCGTCCGGGCCCGCCGTGTTCGATTCCGAAGATATCGCATTGTTTTGCATTGGGCTGCTTTGCATTATTTTGCATTACTTGCATTTGGGTTGCTCAATAGATGCCTGCTGAGGTTGCATTGGGAGCATACATGATGATGATGATGTTGAAGAAGGTGATGATAATGATGATGCGGATGACGATGATGATGGTGGTGATGGTGACGATTAGTATGATGACGATGATGCGGATGATGATGATGACGATGATGACGATGATGCTGATGCTGATGTATGACGATGACGATGATGATGCGGATTACGACGATGATGACGATGATGATGGTGGCGATGATGATGATGATGATGGTGATGATGATGCCGGTGATGATTGTGATGATGCTGGTGATGATCACGAGTCATGACGATGATGGCGGTGATGATGATGATTATGATGATGACGACGATGATGCAGATGATGTTGATGATGATCATTATGATGATGATGTTTATGATGATTCTGATGACTATGATGATGATGGTGATAAGCATGACGGGGATTATGCAACTGATCGCGTACTCAATTTGGCCGCGCAGATCAATGCTCGTCCCTGGGCGCTTCCATTCGGCATGCACGCCCACGGAGCCCTCGGGCTCCCAGGGCAAGCGGGGCGACGAGGGAACTTTCGAACGCTCCAAGAGGAGGAGGAGGAGGACGAGGAGGAGGAGGAGGAGGAGGAGGAAGAGGAGGAGGAGGAGGAGGAGGAGGAGGATTCCTGAGGCGCGCAAGCGCGAACCCGGACGGGAACGGCGTGCGGTCTGCGTAAGGATTCCTCAGGATTCCACCAGGATTCGCTGAAGATTCGGTCGGATTCCTGAGGATTCCTTCGGATTCGCCAGGTTTCCTTAGG